CATTAGTGCTTTGATTGATCAAGGTACCAGTTCAACAACAAAAAAAAAAAACAGATCATTATAAGCTGTTAGTGGGACATGGGTTGGATTAAAGCATGCTCAATGCACGATTGCTTTGGTGCACGCTGATTGGATAAGAATTAGCCAATCAGCGCTAGTCGATACCTGAAGAACACTAGAATCTTTTCATGTAAAAACTATAAATATACTAACGTTTGTCCTATTGTGCTTCTTACTTTCATCTAACCTTGTTATTTGAAATATGATCTCTTTCCTGTTCAACCATGTTATGATTTGGGGACTTGTCGAGTGAATTGGTGTCCAAAAATACTAAACAATAGGAATAGCTGGGTTGTAATAAGAGAAAATTATAGCATAAGCAGTGATAGGTGATCATCAGTAGTGGAATCCAGGACACATTCCGTTTGGAATGTGCCTGCATCTCATATTTGATGTCCACTCTGGGACTTGAACTGAGAACCGTTCGCCTCAAACGCCATTAAGTTATCCACTTAGCTACTGAACCCAGATAGTTACTAGATTGTTCAGTGGAGTGAAGTATTAATTCATTTCTGCACTGCTTGTTTGAGAGACTGATCAATGGCAGTTCTAAACATCAATAGAAAGATTCAAGCAACCAATACAAAAATGAATGTAAACAGATCACTTTCCAGTGAAATCATTTACAATGTCATAATAATAGTCGGTAATTTAGTGTGATAGCAGTGATCTTAATTTCTCAAATATCAGAACAGTAGGTTTAAGATAAAGAGAATGTACAAACTTCTCATAGAATATTCGTTTCATTTGCTCTCTTTCAAGCTCTGATCACCATACAGAGGGCAGGTAGCAAACCGTCAGCTATATTTGTGGAAGAAATTAAATGCTACAAAATTAGATAACAAGCTAGTAAATGAAGAGATATCCATGGACTATCTTTGATTGCTGATGAAGTTAGTCGTCATCGACTGGAAGTCCAACATTGAGCGAATTGGTAATTCTCCCTTGTTCTGCGAAAACAGAACGTAGGTGTCCTTAATAGATAGGTTAATTGAACTGACGTTCCTACGGAATTCGATTCTCGAGGGAAGCTAATGTAACAGTTTAGATTGATTGGTTAAGAGTTGACATCAAACAACTAAGTATATGTCAAAACAATAGAGCTAAAGTATTCATTCGCTTCCTACTTTTATATAGGCATTATATTTCCTATTATCTTATATTGAGTGTTGAAAAGCTTTGTGTGTTTGAACAGGTAATCCCACATTCCACTTTGACTACCACGCGATCTAAATAGAGACCTATTCACTACTGGTCTGGTTTCTTCTATCAAAAGAACGAGGGTTACCTACAGGCATATGTACTTACATGAAGCAAATATAAATAATGATTAATAACTTAATAATTAGTCAAGAATTCCTTGTCAAAACTCTGATTAATTTCTAAAGTAACAAATTTTCCAGATTTTTAACTTCTGGCACTTATGATAAAAAGTGTTGCCTTTATTACAAGTTTTGTAAGTAATGGGTTCGGCACTGGTTTAGAACATGGGGGGGGGATGAAACGCCTAGACTGTACCGCATGGTTTCCAACAGTTGTTTTGAGAATGATATTAGTTTATCATGAAAATGTTGTTTGATTAAACTATCATTAGGCAATTTATAATAAGCTCATTACAAAGGTTAAATGATTGATAATGTAGTCATTGGAGAACAATACAAGAATTCTATAAAAATCTTTTCAAAACCAGTTAATTGATATAGTAGCAATAAACAATGTATTGTATCAATGACAATACCTGCTTCAGTTTGAGCACACAAGAAGTATCTTAACCCTTACATAAATTGAATGATTTATGTGGTGCATATCTATTCGGTGCCTCCTTGTGCCAATGTACAAAAACATCATAAAATCTAGTCAAAATTAACACTTATGTCCAACCTTTATTTGTAAACAAACCCGTTAAGGATGTTACCACTTGTTTTAAACATAAACTGGCCTTTTTCTATAAGAAACATTTAGAAATCTCATTAGTAATTACTCTGAATAGACATACGTTGTTTCAGAAACGTTTTTCAAAAGAAAAAAAAACATAAAAATCCATTGTCTCTTTTTAAAGCTTCTTGTTCGATACATGACTTAAGTTAGCTGGTATGAAACTAACCTTGTTATGTGAGTCATTTAATCAAGTCATACAGCTCAAACTATAAAATGATTTCAGATTTTAAAGAAAAATAAGGTTACATCGAGATGTATTGTGGTGTAAGATACTTATATCCACATAAGTAGTATATAGTGATAGTCAGGAATAGAATGTATTTCAATAGAAGATCAAGAAGAAAAGAACGTAAACGAAAAGTAATTGATATGAAAATACAAGAACAATGAAACCCGAGACGTTGGAGTGATATTTGCAAAAGAAACAGTCAAGTTTAAGACAATGAACTGAGATTTTGCAAATGAAGTATTTACTGTAGTGTTCTCAGATTTTAATAAGACATTCTGTATTTTTGTGCTCATATACATTCGATTGTCCCCACTTTTGTTCTTGTTCACTACAGTATTTATATATTTATCTGTGGAACTTTCTAGTTTGAGATAGTATGAAACAGCGATTAATTTGTAATTAGCCAGTTGTTTCATGTTATGTGTACATAGAAATGTACTAAGCTTATAAAACAAAACATATTCATGGGATTCAACAGATGGTTATACACAACAATTGATGTTCATTACTCACTAAGTCATAATAAATAGATTCATATGAAAATCTAAGTTAACGACAATCATTTCAAGAACTATTCATGGAAGAATTAACTTTAATATACTTCTGAATCTCCCTATTTTAAATTTGAAAATATGAAAGTATGTCGTTACGTAAAGAAAGTTTTGACAAATATTTATCACAAATGATTTTGAAGAAAAAAAAAACAAATCTCTTTATATATTTGTCACCTATCATATTAATATCAGAAGGGATTTTGTATATATTATAGTAATTTTAATAGTTGAGATCATGAGTCAATTGAAGTTAAATCACCATGGGAAACATGGAAGCACTGAAAGGCCATTTCGTTCTAGTGTGGGACTCCTCAGCAGTGCTCATCCACGATCCCACTTTGCGAGATCCGAACCCAGGACTTAACAGTCTCACGCGTGAGCGCTTAACCATTAGACCAATGGTGTTAATGTCTAACTTCAACTAATCCACGAAATTGGTTGGTAATTTTATTCATCAGAAGTTTAAAGACAACATTATACTATTGACTCTATCTATAAGCTTATAAAAAATTTTCTGTGCCCCTACTGTTTCATTGCGTATTTGCTTGAAGTTTATATGCTTAAGAAGAGTTGTTCCATTGATATTCAATGCTTTCAGTGTAGATTAGCAAGCTTTAAGAAAGCATGCAAAGGGAAATTCAGTAAATTATTTTGTTTAGATCTAAAGTAGACAATATATGTCCAACAAATAATTTACCCCTATGAATGAGAGAAACAGGAGGCTTATTTGCTAGCAAACGTAACAACATGGGGTTGTGTTGAAAATGCACTAAGAAAAGATAGTTTCTTCAATATTTACTGACTCCATAGAAAGAAGGTACCTAAAATGATGGCGACAGTACTGTTGAAAATCCCTATTTAAGCGGCGATCTCAAAGCAAATGAAATCACAAGTCTAGAATGACAGGATTCAAAGGTTTATTTGAATTATAGATGAATATGGTCTGTTGTATGCAATCTAAGACAGGGTCATTCTACTGATTCCATAAATAAGTGTATAAAACACACTGTCTTCACCGTAGCTACATGTTTCAGCTACGTACATATCACCCATGAAACGCAATCATAATAGATAGTATCCAAACCTATGTTATACATGAATTGAAACTTACCTATTTCAGCCGTACTCATTACTTACTACCTAAACAAAAGTGATGATCATTTAACGGGATAATTTGGAAATTTCTATTTGAAAATAGTTTGTATACATCACTTTAATGTAATGAAATTAGTTTCATAACAGTTCAGTCCGAAATCTGATACTGATACACAATGTGCCACTATACTAACCCTCTACCTGACTACTTCAATGAGAACACAAGAGTGAGAGAGAAAGTATATTGGACTATCGAATAAAATGCACAATTACTCATTTATATAGACACAACTCGACTACTTAAGAAATCAATTCATTTTTTTAGCCAATTAAGTGCACTTGTCCTTCAGGTCATTTCTGATTGTCAACGATTGACCTTCTTAATCGTCTACTTCTGATCGAATCACCACATCATTTTAGATGAACAGCTGTTCAGCATAGAATGAACCGCCCTCAAAGTGAACAGACAGTTAATTTATCGACCAAAATAGATAGAAATCACTAACTAATATTGTGTTCACCTTAAAACATAAGTATTTATGTTTCTATTGCGTTTGATATTATCGTATATAATGTAATGTGATTTTAAGCTTAAATAAAACATCTCAACCCTAGGTATAATTCACAGAAACAAAAAGATAAGCCTATTCATTGACAAAATGAGTTTTGTAGGTTTAAATAACAAACTGAATTTAATCAGATAACCAGTAAAAATTAGGAATCAAAAGACAAGTATTCCATAGTAATACAGAACTTCTCTTAGTTAAAAACAGTGACGAGCGGAGTTCAGTCAACGCGAGGATGTGATAAATATTTCCAATGGCAATGGATGATAGTTGTGGAATACCATAGATTGATAGTAGGTAAAAGTGTAAAGTATTTTATCCCAGGACAGAAGATCCAGAACTTGATTCCTCGTGGATTCATGAATGTGCACTTCTGTGGGGTACCTTTTTAGGTAAGCTAGATGTCCAGTGTTTCCTAGTCATCCAAATTTCCCTAACTTATTCACACTGTGGTGCGAATCACAAAACTGAACAATCTTCACAACCCTTTAGACTAGAAATCAGTAATTGTTGTCAGATAAATGAAAAAAATAATCTTTTTCTTTTTTACATTCATACCTAGTTGATTGCTGAATAACTTGACGAAGAAACTCCAGTGTGTACTGAGCATTTCCAATTTCTTGTAATATATCGCCATCTTCAACGTTTTCTTCGAGTACAGACACAGCAGGACCAATATTTTCAACCTAAAAAAATGGAAATTTGTAAAACTTTTGTTTCAATACGTTAAAGTTAACTGGTTTAACTATTTTAGGCACCTAGACTCATAAAATACTAAGTTTTAAAATACATTAAAACACTCCATTATTTTACTATTATGTACATGAAGAAGAATCGAAAAGCTTGTCGGATTACGTATAGTCAGTCAGTCAGTCAGTATCAACGTAGAACTTCGTACGTAAGTACATCAGTTCGAGTTGCCATACCACATTAGAACACAGATACGATTTTTAATTCAAATCCCATAGTAGTAGAGGTAGTAAGAGTATAAGCAGTAATCGGAAAGATTAAGGTTTGAAGATGTTATTCAATCGCAGTATGTATAAGTGGTTATTGTATTGTCTTCTTGATGCTCTACTAAATATTTAATGTTTCAAAAGTGATGTTTTCATTTGTTTACATATAAACTGTGAGCTTGTATACAAATAATTCAAGATGATAATGGTGCAGATTAACAATTTCGACTAAGCAACATTTTGAATACATTGTCTTATAATTAATTTCATTGAAGAATCAATATTAGTAATAATGTGTGCTAACTGCGTCTGGAGCCCTTTTAGGGTTACTGTCCGTCCTAAGCTCAGGTAGAAGAGAGGGGTTGGGCATAGAGTTACAAACCCTGTCCCGTAAAAAAGAACATAGGTAAGCAAAAGCTAGCTAGATTAAGCGTTTGCGCGCCATACCGAAAGCCCTGGGTTTCAAATACCGCGGACGGGATCGTGGATGCGCACTGCTAAGAACTCCCACAATAGGACGAAATGGCCTTCCAGTGCTTCTAAGATTTTATTGATGGTCTAACATCAATCTGTTCATGATCTCAATTAAAAAAACCTTATAACCTCAATAATCTCATGCTGATAACTAGAAAATAGTTTATGCTAGACCTTTAGACGGAACAATAACACATGACTATACAATTGACATATTCTCACATAATTCTGATCATTATAAGTCATTACTTTACCAGATAAGCCATAGATGTTTCGGGGTTACATTTATTTTCTTTGTTTTTGAATCACTATGAGCTGAATTAATTGCCCATGAAGTATTAGAGTATTTACAATTGATCATGGCCGATCCAGTTCACTAAGATGAGACGCTTCTAACCGATGGGATTGTCTAAAAGTTGCATTATTTTACGAATTGAGTATGACTAGAAGTTTGAAGTCATGAGCTTCTATTTATTATATTAATCATGATGAAATCACCATAAAAATGTGAGTGTCACAATTCTAATCCTATTTAAGATAATAACCAAGGATTATTGAGGACACCTAAATGTAGTACTTTCCTATTGTTCTTCACTCAATTTCAGTTCGTGACAAAAATGATCTTGAAACGGAACTTTATAATAAGACAACTGAAGAAATGAAACGATATATGTAGCATATAGATTAACAGTACTTAGATCTATCCTATTTCCGCACTGAATAGTCCGCTGAAATTTAATCGAATCATTATTATCACTATTTATTTTAACAGTACTTAATATAAAACTGTTAACTCAGTTTGTCAGACGTTTTATTTTATGCTAGTGAAGTATTAATTCACAATAGTTGTCAAGACTAAAACCTACTTGAGTTTGTGAACAGCAGCTGCAATTCATCAGTTGTTACTATTGGTTCAAATGTTATCACTACTTATCATAGATGATGCTTCGTTTCATTCGATTCAATATAACAATTACTGTTTCTTTTATTGAAACCCCGACAGATATATAAATACACAACCATTGTTATACTTCTGCCATCTGGAAAGAATTGAAAATTAGTCGACAATTAAGTACAGAATTAAAGAGCAAAATTTAAAAAGTCACAATGTGTTCAAACATGATATGGAATGATTTTAAATGATAAGTAAAATCAGGCGTGCAAAAACCAATCAGTAGTAGACGATTGAGAAAGTCAATCGTTGACAATCAGAAATGACCTGAAGGATAAGTACACTTAATTGGCTAAAAAAATGAATTGATTTCTTAAATAGTAGAGTTGTGTATATATTAATGAGTAATTGTGCATTGTATTCGGTAGTCCAATATACTTTCTCTCTCACTCTTGTGTTCTCATTGAAGTAGTCAGGTAGAGGGTTAGTATAGTGGCACATTGTGTATCAGTATCCGATTTCGGACACCGCCCATCACAACAAAATCCCCCCTTAAAATATTTGTTTTTTTTTCAAAGTTTGTTCAACCGTACGTGTTTGTTATGAGAGAGTCTGATGAAACTGCCATGAAAATTTCTAGTACATTATTTCAAGAAGTAAGTAGTTTGAATCCTTGAAATTTCTTCTTAAATATAATTGACGAAAGACAATTATAAGGAACGTATCATTCAATAAATCTAAAGGCAAGACATTCAATAGTTATGTATATGGTATACCTTATTGTAAACTTTCATTAATAGAATTAACTTAATTTAAACTATAATTAAGCACCAATAAAAAAATTATGGCTCAAACGTGAGTAGACAAATATGTAGTTGGATGCCGGCTCAGTGGTCTAGTGGTAAAGCGCTCGCGCGCGAGACTGATAGGTCCTAGGTTCAAATCTCTCGGGAGGGGGGCGGGAGTTCCACAATAGGACGAAACGGCCATCCAGTGCCTCCATGTTTTCCATGGTGATCTAGCTTCAATTGACTCATGATTTCAACTAGTGAAATATGTAGTTGGTTAATGAATTCTATATAACTTTTTCTTTTCAAATTAAAATAGCACTTTTGTTCTCAAATATATAATTTATTATGAAATAAACTTCAGGTTGCACCAGAGTGGTACGTGCTACTACTGATGTCGATAGATATAAGTAGTATGTATCATCAACCGAAAATGAAATACCTGATGGCAGAAGGTTAAGAAGATCGAAGAGAAGAGAACATGAACAGAGAGTGATTGGTGTGCAAACAAAAGAACAATGAAGACTGAGACAATTGATTGACATTTTGCAAATAAAGTAATTACTGTATGGTTCACTGATTTTACTAAGATTATGTATTCGATTGTCCCTAGTTGTATCCCCGTTTACTGCATCAGTAAATAGTAAAATGTTATTTCATATATTATTACTTACAATATCCCTAAGTGAAAATGTACTTAACCTTACACATACCAGATAACACATCATTTAACTAAGTATCAGGAACGTCATATTTTTGTAAACTACATATCTATTAAAAATGGATACACTAAGAAAATAGAAAAATCATGTATGAAGTGAGATACTAGAGACTTATCACGCTATTACTTTGCTTCCTTGTTGTCTGCTCTCGTTTCCTTTCTCTTCCTCGCTTGAGAATGCAAACATTAATCTTGTAAGTAAATTATGATAATATAATACTATACTACATGTTAAGTCTACCTGTAACGTTAACACTTCAGACTTCATATCGGGAAAATACTTTGATTTGAATACTCGATCACTTTTGAGTGTCTGATGAAAAATATGAAAACGTCCTATAAATAGTTAGTGTCATAAAATCTATTAGAATTTAGGATGTGGCAGTATCTAAGCTATACTTCAAACTGGTTACTACAGTTCAGCAATAACAATAGTTTTCTACAACAAACCGAATGCGCCATAGATGTTTATGAGTCGTCCTGTAAACATTTTATCTCACATATTATTAAAAGCTTTATCTTAAGTACTCAGTTTGAAGTGTTCTAGAACTCATAGCCTTTTAGGTGTATGCCTATTTCATCATTATTAAATACCAAGTCATATCAACTTGATCATATAAACAAAATTCTGTGCATCCTGTAAAATCATGATGGGAATAATGAATGGTAACTGTTGAAATCTATTTCTGCACTAATACTCTACATATATATTTATCGTATAATTGTTAAGTAAATAAACTATTCATATTCATGTTTCTCTATTTTGACCTATGAAACACTATTATACGATTTACGATTCTTGAGTTATGCACAGTGTATCAATTACAGCCTTCCACATTCACAGCCACTTTTGGCTAAATGTTGTACAGGTGTTATTTTCTATGATATAGTGCGATGTAGTCTGTTTGGTTTGATATATAAACATAGTATGTTTGAAATAAATGATTGATATCGCGGAGGCTGAGATTGGTGTTGTGGACTTAACATGCAGGGTTAGGCAGTAAGCAGGACTGATAAGAACCCTAGATTACTCGTATGGGTTTTGTGCGTCATTGGCTCGGTCGATGAATCACTGTTCACTAAATAGCAGTATCATTACGTTATACATTGATAGGGGTAAAAACCTTCAAGTTATAACACATACTATACTCATTTCCAGAAATATTTTAGATTACTTAATCTGTGTAGTGAAACATTATAACCTACATACGCATTATTGAGTTAGAAAATAATTTTAAAAAATATGAGTACATTGTGTGTGTTCAATAATATAAAACGATAATGAAAGTTAATTTAATGACTGTATGATTACTGTTAAACAAAAACTTGGTAACAGTAAATATAGTCTAGGCATCAGTCAATCAAAATCGATAAAACTATTTTTAGATTTCTTGCGTCTTTTTCTGGTTAGCGTTTTTTTAACGAGCTAGTTTTCTACGAGATGGGGTTGCTAATACTATGCCCAACCCTCCTCCTTTATCCGGGCTTGGGACCGGCAGTAGCCTAAAAGGAGCTCCAGGCGGGGCGGAAACTTAAAGAACCACGAAAGCCATCATTCAGAAGATACAAGTGTTTATTAACACCTGTCTACACAAAATACTTCAGATCCGTTAGTCAGCGACTATCAGCAATAACCTACTGTAGGAAAAAACAAACAGATCCCAGTGAAGGAAGAAATCAGGAATAAGCGTTGGAAGTGGATAGGACACACAATGAGGAAAGCACCCAACTGAGTCACAAGGTAAGCCCTCACTTGGAATCCTCAAGGCCGAAGAAAAAGAGAAAAATCAAAGAACACAATACGCCGAGAAATGGGGACAGATATGAGCAGAATGAACAAAAATTGGATAGAGCCATAAAGGAAGGCCTAGAACAGAGTGAGTTGAAGAATGCTGATCGGCGGTCTATGCTCCATTGGGAGTAACAGGCTCAAGTAAGTAAGTAAGTAAGTAAGTAAGCAATTAAGATTTTTTGCGAGAGATTCAAGTACCGTTTTTAATGTAAAGAACAGATAAACCGACACTATCCATAAATTCCATTTCTAAACCGTTAATCTGATGAGACTATATTTTTTGGACGAACTGATTAGACAATGGCTCTTGGATTTTTCTGCCAAGTTGATCTATATGATTATACATAGTTTTCAAATTATAAATCATATCAGTTCGTGATAGAAATGTCAACAATTAACACCTACTTCTTATTCTAAAATTATATCTCACGCCACAAATCATATAATCAATTCTTGGAAATCTCTTTCGGTCCTATTTAAGATTTGAGAATACAAATAATCTTTGTCATTCAATGTGAACGTATATGTTATTATGCTTGTATTGTATAGACAGAATAACCTATGGAAAATTTTATTAAACTGATTAGATATGTAAAAAATTTTTCACACTTGTTACATTATTGATTTCATTTATATAAAGATCTTTAGTAGCTGACTAATAACCAGAGCTAATCCCTATAAAATACACTTATCAAATACTTTGAATCCAGGCCGTTTGTATCTACATCCAAGAGTTGACGTTCATTTCGGGATGCATTGACGTTTGAAACGAATGTCACTAAGTTCGAGTCCCGGAGTGAACATCAACCTTGAGATGCAGGTAAATCCAACTGATGAGTCCTAAGTTGGACGAAATGTGCGTCTTGGATTCCACTTCTAGATATCATCTATCTTTGCTTATATATAATAAATTAGTTTAAGATTGTTAAGTCTTATCGCCTAAGTGATTTAGATTGTAAAATATTCATTGCTTTTTTTTCAAAAATTGTTTATAATTTTTAATTATGACCGTTATAACTTGTGGGTTTGTGCCCCAATTAGTGTATGACGTAATGATACCGCCAATTAAAGAACAGTGATTTACCGATAGGACCAATGAAGCGTAAAACCTGTACGAGCAGTCTAGAGTCCTTATCAGTCATGCTTCCCGCCTAACCCTGCCTGCTACGTCCAGAACACCAATCTAAACCTCCGCGATATTAATCATTTATTTCAAAAATACTACATTTATATACCAACCAACCAGACCATATAGTACCGTATATTAGAAAATAATATTTGTACAAGTTGTATCCAAAAGTGGCTGTGAATGTGGGAGGCTGTAATTGATACACTGTGCATAACTCAAGAATGGTTAATCGTATAATAGTGGTTCATAAATCAAAATAAAGCTTATGACGAGAGGAACACGAGTATGAATAGTTTATATGTAGAGTATTAGTGCAGAAATAGATTTCAACAGTTACCACTCATTATTCTCATCGGGATACAACATTGATCATGAAAGATCATTTTGTTGTTTATTTAAATTCGAAAACTTATCATTACACTCTTAAAGAATCATAATTAGTTCCATTGAATTTGTAATGAGCTATAAGTGGCTAAAGTTCAAAAATTTTACTTCATTTCTATCTATGATTATGTAACAAACAAACATAATTACTGCAATATCTCTCTCTTTTCTTATGATACAGTAAGTTTCTCTTCGGGATAATCTGGTCTAAATTCATGCTCTTGTTATAGAAACTTCATTCGTGGAAAAGCTTACTAATAATTTAATTAATGAATGAATATTCCGTGGATTGGTTGAAGTTAGACAATAACACTTTTGAATGAAGGCTTAGTAG